CCGGGTGTATAAATACCTGAATCTGCACACAAGGTGCAGAGAGTAAAGTGAGTACTCCAACTCAGTGAGTAACAAATATAAATAAAGACTGAAGGAAAGAAATCACGAAAAACATATCAAGATGCTATATAGAAGCAGTTCAAAAACCAGTAAGAAAGTAGTGAAGCTGTAAATCTCTTAAAACATCTTAGCCCAGTTTAAACTTCTTTGAAAATGGCTTTTTCAATGGTTACGCAAATGAATGCAAAATAGTTAGTGCAGAGAAGCACAAAAATTTGCCCCTCGGGCACAAATACCATAGTTTAACAGGTAAAATGATAAGTAAATATGAAAGATAAACAAATTAAGGTTCACCCCTCGGGCATTATCTTAGAACAATACTAGCCCCTCGGGCTATCACATAGAACAATATCAGCCCATCGGGCTATCTCTCATATCACAATAGGTACCCGCGCTCACTGGGGGTGTACAGACTCCGAGAGGGGCCCCTTACGGCCCCAACGCAATATCAAGCCATCTCGTGGCATCAAATCTAGGCCATCGGCCTCATATCAGTCAAGCCACCTCGTGGCGTATATATCTCAGGCCCTCGGCCTCATAAATAATACAACAAGCCACCTCGTGGCGTATATATCTCAGGCCCTCGGCCTCATAAATAATACAACAAGCCACCTCGTGGTGTACATATCTCAGGCCCTCAACCTCAAATCAGTATCAGTATTTCCTCACAACTAGGCCCTCGTCCTTACTCAGTCAAAAATATTCACAAGCCCTCGGGCATTAGTAAAATAGTATTTCTCAGCCAAAACATCATTTAAAATATCATTTAAGTCTCAAAACAGAGTAAAAATGGCTGAGTAGTAAAATAGTGGAAAATAACATGACTGAGTTCAATTAATAAGTCAAAGCCGTGAGGAAATAGTAATAAAAATCCCCGAAGGGTTCAAATAGTTGGCACGAAGCCCAAATATGGCAATCAGCCCAAATCATGATGATAACAAATAAGTTTCAGTCAAATACGTGGTAAAATCATCAATCGGGATGGACCAAGTCACAATCCCCAATAGTACACGACCCCACGCTCGTCGTCAAGTGTGTGCCTCACCTCAATATAGCACTAAGATGTGCAATCCGAGATTTCAAAACCTTAGAACATCATTTAAAATCATTACTCACCTCTATCCGATCCGAACTCTAGCCCATGATGCCTTTGCCTCTCGAATCGGCTTCCGGATTCTTCAAATCTAGCCAAAATCAGTACAAAACCATCAAAATGTGCTAAGGGAACAAATCCTACTCAAAAATAATCAAATTACCACAAAAATCCCGAAATTGGTCACACCCGACCCCCGGGACCACATCTCGGAATTTGACAAAATTCACAAAACTAAAATCCTTATACTCTCACGAGCCTAACCATACAAAAATTATCCAATTCTGATACCATTTGGTCCTTCAAATCATCATTTTATATTTTTGAAAGATTCCACAACTTTTCTTCCCAAATTCCATCCCAAATCATGAATTAAACGATGAATTCAATGATAGATTCATGTATTCTAGCCAAATCTGAGTTAGAATCACTTACCCCGATGAATTTCTTGAAAAACCTTCGAAAAATCGCCAAAATCCGAACTCTCTAGGTCAAAATATAAAATAAAACCCAAAAAATCGTATTTAAAGAGTACTCCATAGATTTCTACCTCCGCAGACCACACAAAATTGACCGCGGTCCGCACAAAAACGACCGCGGCCGAACATGCTTTCCTCTGCAGTGATAGGTTTTAGTATTTTTGCCATAACGTTCGCTAAAGATGTCCAAATTCCGATATCTTTACCTTTCTGGAATTTAGACATGAAGGGCTACAATGTTTGTTTTTGAATCGTCTTAAAATTCCTTGTAGATCAAAATATATGAGCTTCCGAAGTAGGACCAATGAAATGTTCCCCACTGCGGCCGCACTGCATTTTGTGCGGTCCGCACATCACCTACCGCGGCCGCACTTCATTTTGTACGGTCCGCACAACACATACCATGGCCGTACTTCTTTTTGTGCGGACCGCGCGGGTGGGTTCCGAGGCCTGCAACCCTTCTGGACCTGCTACAGCTATGATTTTGGGCCTAAAACATCCCGGAACCTACCCGGAACATACCCAGAACTCCCGGAACTTCAAACCAATTGTACCAACACACCCCATGACATTGTGCAAACTTGTTAAAAACTTCAGAATGCTTGCAACAACATCAAATCACCAATTTAACATAGGGTTCAAGCCTAAGAACTCCAAGAACTCTTAAATTATGCTTTCGATCAAAAAGCCTATCAAATCTCATCCGAAGGACCTGAAATTTTGCGTGCACATCCCAAATGATACAACGAAGCTACTGCAACTCTCGGAATTCCATTCCGACCTCTATATCAAAATCTCACCTATCAACCAGAAAAATGCCGAATCTCAATTTCGCCAATTCAAGCCTAAATCTTCTCTTCAACTCCAAAACTCATTCCGATCATGCTCCTAAGTCACAAATCACCTAACGGAGCTAACCAAATCATAAAAATTCTAATCCGAGATCATATACAAATAAGTTAAATCTTGGTCAAAGCTTTCAAATTTCAAGCTTCAACTGAAAACTATTTTCTTCCAATTTCGTTCCGATTACTCTGAAAACCAAAACCAACGATTTACATAAGTCACAACACATCACATGGGGAAAGTCATGCCAGAAAACTGGTGATCAAAGTGCAAAAGCTCAAAACAACCGGTCGGATCATTACAATATCGAAGATCTTAACACATAGATTGCAGCAGGTCATGGATATGCTTGTGGACTCCAATCAGTCAGCTTTCGTACCAGAGAGAGTGATCACAGATAATACTATTATGAGTCCCGAATTAGTTAAAGGGTATGGAAGAAAAAGAATTTCGCCAAGATGTATGTTGAAAATTGATATGAGGAAAGCGTATGATTCGGTGGAATGGCCTTTTATGGAGCAAATCCTTAATAGCTTAAATTTTTCGGCAGTGTTTGTGAAATGGATAATGACCTATATCAGCACAGTATCCTACTTAGTAATTATCAATGGTATACCTGCTATCCCTTTCAAAGCAAGGAAATGACTCAGGCAAGAGGATCCCCTTTCCCCTTTTCTTTTTGTGTTGGTCATGAAATATTTGAATAGGAGAATGAAGACTTTAAGAAGACAACCAGATTTTAATTTCCATCCAAAATGTGAGAAACTGAATGTTACCCATTTAGGATTTTATGATGATTTGTTGTCCTTTTGTAGAGGAGATCCTATATCGGTTAGAATGATTTATGAATGCTTCCAGGAATTTTCTAAATCTTCTGGGATGGCAGCAAATACTGAGAAGAGCTCCATTTATTTTGGAGGTGTATGCAGAGAGGATCAAGAAGACATAATGCAGAGTTTGGGGTTCACAAAAGGGGAGCTGCCTTCAGATACCTGGGAATCCCTCTGAGTGATAAAAAGACCAGTGTGGTACAGTTTAAACCACTGATGGACAGAATGTTAAGAAAAATACATCGTGGACTGCAAAATTCTTATCTTATGCTGGACGTGTCCAATTGATAAAATCTGTACTATTTTCCATTCAAATTTTCTGGTCGCAGGTTTTTGTATTACCTAAGAAAGTGGTGCAATTGATTGAATCATTATGTAGAAGGTTCTTATGGACTGGTGGAGTTGAAATGTCAAAGAAAACCTTAATAGCGTGGGATCGACTATGCTATCCTAAATCTCCTGGGGGTCTAGGATTACTGGACATATATGCTTGGAACAGGGCAATCATATGTAAGCATTTATGAATGTATGTGAGAAAAAGGATAGACTTTGGATTAAATGGGTTCATGCTTACTATATCAAACATGGTAGAGTATGGGATGCAAGGGTGGATAGAGCTTCATGGGTGGTCAGGACAATTTTGAATGCGAAAGAAGTGTTTGAACAAGCTGGATGCAATGAAATACAGGTAACTCAAATGATTACATTCTCCACAAAAGGGATGTATTGCAAAATTAGGGGAGAATTTCAAAAAGTTATCTGGAAGAGACTAATATGCAATAACTTAGGGGCACCAAGATGAGTGTTCATATTATACATTGCTATTCATGAAAGATTGCTTACAAAGGATAGGCTCGCAAAGTGGAAGCATGTGGATGATTTGAAATGTCCTCTGTGCAACAATGAAGATGAATCCATAAATCACCTATTCTTTCAATGTTGTTACTCTGCAACTGTCTGGGATAGGATATTGGGATGGCAAGGTATTAACAGGAAATCTATGGGATGGCATGATGAAATGAGATGGGCTATGAGATATGGGCAGGGCAAGTCTGATACTACTGCTATGTATAGACTGACTTTGGTTGGATGTTTGTATTGCATTTGGCAGGAGAGGAACATGAGGCTGTTTCAACACAAGAGGCGAACTAGTGAGATATTGAAAAGACATATTATCCAAGAAATCCATTATAGAGGGTCGAGGTTTCCTAGCTTAAAGAGGAAGATGGAGAATTTGAACTTTTATCCTTAGTAGTGAATGATAGAAGGTTAGAGCAATAGAGAAGATGTGTAGTTGGCTGGATTGGGGCTATGTCCAAGACAACACGTTTGTGTATTTTTTTTCTTGTATTGAGTTGTATATGCTTACTTGGTAAATAAAGAGTTTAGTTACAAAAAAAAAGTGCTTATAAGTTAAGTGCTTATAAGCCAAAAGTCATAAGTTGGTCTCCCCCGACTTGTCAAATTTCAGCTTATAAGCACTTTAGGCTTGACCAAAATATTTACTATTCTATCCATACTTTTATCCAAACACATAACTGCTTATTTTTAAATCAGTTTCAGCACCTAATGCTTATCGCCTACTCTAAATTCATTCTACTTTTCTAGGCAATACGCTTTTTTTTTCTTTTTCTTTTATTGTTCCATAACAATTTCTAAATATTAACGGGAAAATAGTGTGTGTTTCCTATTTGGATGGAAGGAATATTAATTTCCAAAAACATAAATGAAATCTCCGAATACTGATAGAACAAACTCAAAAGTGAAATCACGTTCACGGCTAATCACAGTCGCTATTTAGGAAATACAGTTTTTGGGGTTTCAACAATTGTCATTCTACTGTTCTTTTGGTTGGATTTGATTCAGAAAATTGGGAAGTTTTAAGAGGAACGGAAAAGGCAAGAGATGATTCTGCTCAGGGAACAGCTGGTGACCTAATTTTAACGGTTTGTGTTAAACCCTTTTCACCATTCTTATTTTGCTTATACCAGTGAAATCCCCTTGAAAGATTACAACTTTCTCATTTCTTGATCGTGAAATGACCAAATTTTCACTGTTTGCGTTGAACCCTTTCCCCTTTCTTCTCCAATTTGTTTGTATCAACAAAATTCCCATGAAAGATTTCAACTTTTTGCTTTCTTATATGTGAAATGACCAAAACAGAAAATTTTGTTTGCTGCAGCTTTCTGGTGTATTATGTTATATCCAGCCTGAGAATTTGCAAGTATTGACAAGATAAGCATATAGTACCAGATGGCATTGTGTTCTATATACAAGTATGGTTCGAAAGCTCAGGGGTTGGCATTTCTTGCATTTGGGTCAATTTCCTTTTTGCTGTTTGTTTATGCTGCTATTGTGTCCAAGTTACTTCCGCCATTTGATAACCCCATCCTTGCAGCCATCCAAAATGACCGGTGAATTTCTATTCTTTGGTTATTTATCTTTTCATTTTTACTGTTAAAAGTGACCTATTTTGTCTTACATATCCCCTTTTAGATACCCTGGATACTGAACAAATTAGATATAATTATGTCCGAATTTAGGGACTGGAACAAACCTTGAGATTACAACATTATTTGTAGATGGAAAACTGAACTGAGGGAAGGAGATTAGAGATAGTGATTTGGGACATTAAATGACATTGTTTGATTACTTTATAAATGTTCTTCTATTATTGTTCACCATATTTTAGGATTTGTTACATGGTTGGTCTGTGGTAACAGTTGTTCATTGGTCTTCTTCATTTCGGAAGAGCTTTTGTGAGTTCTGATTATTGCATCGACCAGTATTATAGAGTGTACGTTACTGCACTTGACATATTTATGTTCCAAGTACCATGATATTGATGCCANGGGGGAGGAGAAGAGGCTTGTGAAGGCCTTAACTCCACCCTCCCAACACACACAACACCAACAAAAAAAAATGAACTCTAGTAGGTGTGCAGTGTATCAAAAAAAAAGGCCCAATTTACTTTGTTGTGGTATGATTCAGCTGAATCTGGCAATGGAAGCTCCATGTCATCGTAGATAGAAAAAGATAATGAATATGACCAATATTTTCAGAGATGTTAAGAATATTCCTCTAGGAAACCACAGCAATCTCCTTCACGTTAGAGCAACTTATTCATTGAAAAAATGGGTGTTGGAAAAATTTGAATGGAGTCAGTGGGTGTGCAGTGTATCAAAAAAAAAGGCCCAATTTAATTTGTTGTGGTATGATTCAGCTGAAGCTGACAATGGAAGCTCCATGTCATCGTAGATAGAAAAAGATAATGAATATGACCAATATTTTCAGAGATGTTAAGAATATTCCTCTAGGAAACCACAGCAATCTCCTTCACGTTAGAGCAACTTATTCATTGAGAAAATGGGTGTTGGAAAAATTTGAATGGAGTCCGAGGACCAAGGAGCTTCTGGTTTCTTCATGAGCACATTTAGATTATTCATTTTTCAAAGCTGAACACCGAGTGCGTTTGAACGGCATGATTCAAGTAGCACTCGGTGCATGATCACCTGTTTGCTTTAAGCAGTCGCTATCAAGGGATATGTTTCACTTTTCCAATTCGGAACCTTAAATAAAAGGAAAACACGAGCATGGTGGTAAATGGCCCCCCCACACTTGACTGTGAGAAATTGTTAGTTGCAGAAAAACTTTGCATACACACACATCTTAATAAAAATTTTGCATTTAGTATATAATTAATGAGTCTGACATGTTGACAATGAAAACGTTTGGTGGGAGAACTAGTTTGAATCCTATTTTCATTATAACTATTCTACAAGAATTCCTTCTCCAGGAAACCTTGCGTTCACATTTGGGAATTTTTTGCTGTATATCAATTTTCTTGTCCTATTTTTAGACAATGAAAAGATACATTAAGTTGTGTCATAGGAAAAGTTTTCTTTCCAACTCTGCGTTCAGTTTCATCAAAGATTTTAAAAGAAGGTTACTGTGAAAGTGCTACCTTTTGTCGAAATGCATTGTGCTTGCCTTATGATTTAGTTTTAATTAAATCTTTTAATTTTAATTTTATGCAATGTAGTAGTTCTATTGGTTTAAAGTTTGCAAATCAAACTGCCAGTGGTTTCAGTAAAAACTTTAAATGTTCTTTTACGTGGATCTCTTCCCAACCAGCTACATGTGCTTTACCTCTGCATGCTGAAAAATCAATTTGGAAATTAAATGCTTTTTTTTATCCTACCTTTTACAATGTTACATTAGACAATTGCAAGGCTTTGATTTGAAAGTATCAGACTGGTGATTCCCTTTCTAGACAATTAGTCGACATTTGTTGTTAAGGTGTTACCTGGCTTGCAGCATAAACGTACTGGCATGATAAATTGTTAATAGTTGATTTCAGTTATAATTAAATACTTTAGTTATACAAGAGACTTCAGTTACTTAATTCTGCTTCCTCAGTAGTAATGGTTATGACATGAGTGTGAATGACTGGAACTATTATTGGGAAATGAGGATTCTACAAGATGTGATTCGATTTTGTGATGGTTGTTAACCTAATGTAACCATTATGCTAAAATCAAATCATTACTAAATTTGTACTTAATAAGGCTTTGTAGCAGGAATATCTCATGTTTCAATTGTTTACATGTAAATATGCTTCTTCCCTTTTGATGGGAAATGCAATGGATTCTTCAGATCCTTCAATTTTGTTTGTAACGAAAATATTATGCTGAGGTATACATGATCTTTGAATTATTCCCCAAAATATCTTGCTTTCTGTTGGTATAGGTAGATGACCTTTTTTTAGCTATAAGTAGATGATTTACACCTTTGAGTTGAGATTTTCTTTTTTCTGTTACAGATACTATTGCTTTCTGGTTCCTTTAACACTTCCCATCCTTGTTGTCAAAATATATTTCCATTGGCTCAGTATGAAGATCTTTAAGCATGCGTAGCTCAGACGAGGTATGAAAGCTAGTCATTTATGTAATTTCATGATGATTGTTATGAATTGGTTAGGCTTCAGACTTTGGTCCAAGTTCACTTGAAACCATTTGACATGAGTAGAGTGAAACAATGACATAGTAATTTAGTATGAGAATTTTTCTGGTTGGCAATTAGTCAATTACCCAATATAGTTAGTGACAGATGAGTTACCTTCTCTACTAAAGTGTAGTTATGTTGGGCCCTTTTGTGCTAGTGGCTTTCCCAGAAATTCAGAAGTTAAGAGGACAAAATGAGTATAATGACTTTCTTTCAAATAAATAACTTGCATGCATTTAACAATTGCTTCTGTCCAAGTTTTCTGATGAAGCAAGATTTCTAAAATAAAGTTTTTTGAGGAAGACATTTGTGCTACTAAATCATCCAAGAAACCCATCCTTCTATTATTTTCCAGTTCCATGGGAGCTACTGATAATCTGGACGGCTGTTAAACTTGACTAAGTTGATTTTCCTTATTCAATAGTGTAGCTCAAGTTGAGATTTATTTCGTACTTGAATTTCACGTCAACTTTTTGAAATAAACAAACCTTAAGTATGAAAATTTTGAGTTGTTGGAAGAAAGTATAACTGAAACTATCTACTGAAATAGTGTGGGGTTCCATTAGAAATACAACTAAATGAAAAAGGCAAAAATAAGCTTTTTTGGGGGGAAAAAATCTCTTTTGTTATTTTACTCTAGAATTAAGATCTCAACTAATCGAATATTTTTGTTTTTTTGAAATGTTCATGATGAAAGTCAAAATAGTGGACGTATATTTATTTTCATTATTGATACTTTTGCCTTCTTACAGGAAAGAAGGTACCGACTGTCATCATCAAAACCCTTCAAGAAAGCTCAGTAATTTAACATGACAGAATCTCACTCTGTGAAAGAGGTTCATGAGATTTTTCCCTTCTAACTATATACATCATAGATTTTTGAAAATGCTGTAGCCTAGCATACTTTTGACCGCGATATGTGAAACTCAAAGCAACTTAGGATCTTGCTTCTGTTCAATACCAGTTTGAATAGCTGGTAAGTCATGTAATTGAGAGAAACACGGAGTTACTGTAGTTTTTCTTCCTGAGTTACTGAGCTCAAAATTTTCATGCATCTCTTAATTTAGTTGACATTTACTACAAAATTTACTTGTATCTGCTATTGACCTCCATTCAGCTGCGTTTGTCTATTCACAACTCTCTGTAGATGTCAGTTTATTATGGTTATTGTGTTGGAACTCAGAGTACATGTTGTGAAGCTGCTAATATTAGGTGACATTTTCGATAATGGTGGTGTTCATGTTAGTTTGTACTACTTGGACTAATTTATCGAGTACTTGCTATCTCTACGAGCATTGGTACAGGATAACTCTGTTCGTCAAAACTTACAATTTGACAATCAATCATAATATTCAACTACGTTAGTTGACTCCTTTAATCCTTGGATTACGTACTATCCTGAAACTATTTTCTCTACACGTTCAGCCTCGGTTCCAATCAGAAAGGTTTGACATTTCCATGCTGCAATAAAAACTACATATTGTCAAACCTTTATATAACCTCCTCTTTTGTTCCAGATTTTTTTGGTTGTTATAGCGAAGTCTTGTTATAGACAATATATATTATAACATAGCATGAAAATTGGTTTCATAAAAAGCTTGGCTTTTATAGTGAATAGTTGTTAAATAGTGATGAATGATGATGTTATAGAAGCATGGTACTTCATTAAAGAAGAAAAAGGGGGCCTGATTTCAACTCATTTGTGTCTTCTTTTGGATTCTCCATAAGCAACAACTCCCATCACTGTCATTGTATAGCCCGCGATTCCAATAAAAGTTACTGGATTTTGGAATATTAGTATGGAGATAACAACAGCCACTGCTCCTTTTGCATTGCCTAGGACCTATAGCAGGCCACAGATAATTGAACATGTTAAACATCAGGTGAAAGCAATGGCGTTGCAGATTAGCATGAAAAAAGACGGTACAACTTTAGAACCATTACTGAAAAATATTGTAGGTGCTTGGACAATATTTGGTTGAAGTTTGAAGAAAATTTAAGTTTAAGTTGATAAAGGGTATTTAGAAGTCGTGTGCAAACAACGAATTTAGAAAATTAACCTTCTTGGCCTGAGACTAGGCGTGATCTTTCTTCTGAAGTCTAAAGACATATGGCAAGTTAGAGTGCAAAGATATATGCTAATGACAAAATGGTCTATAGCAGCCAATGCTACAGGTTCTCTACTCCTGGGCTCCAATTCGAGACTTCTTATTAAGGGTGAAAGGATTTCAACCATTCCACCATACCCCTTGGTTATCATTGTGCTTCTTTCTTTTGCCACATTAAACTATACCAATTAGAGGAGAAAAAAAGTGGGGAGGGGGAGGAGGAAAGAGAGATATAACGCGAACCTGGAGTGTCAAAGCACTGGTATGTTTAGTCACCAAAAAATTCAACAAGTTGGCACCATATGCCATTGCAGAATTAACCAAAATAAGTAGGCCAAGGAACCTATGTTCAGTCGCGAGTGTCATAGTGACATCTATAACGTTGGGCTCCATAACGAGTGTGGCAGGCAATAAGACTAGAACAGCAATGGGTGACATGTAGAGCAGGAGATTCATTGAGTTCAGTTTTTCCCTGAAAAACAACAGCAGATTATAGGAGAAATTACCACAATGTATCGTATGGAACAACAGAATGAGTAAGATATAAATAGATAAAAGTAGTTACCCTTCAGAAGAAAGAAGGACCCCTTGAAGAACAGACTTAAAGGCTCTAGCAGCAGTTGCACCTATGCACATTAGAAATCCATAAAGGTGGAAGCTTGGCTCGCCCTGCCACCGATTAATTAAGATTCTTATTAGCCAGTAAAGAAAGAAAGCTCCTCAAATTCTCATGACAATAGGGATTCTGATGTTGCCAAGTTCTTCAATCATAGAAATCTGAAAACTTTTCAACTTGGTTACAAAACTGATTTCAACAACAATAGGCAAAGATTTGGTAGGCTTAATAAACCTCAAACATAACACAACAAAAAGACCATGTAAATAGATTAGTATAATTACTAGTATCACTTTCTTAGAGAATAAAATCTTAAACTAAATTATGAGACATTAAGAATCTCTGAATTGCTGAAAGTAAATTTATTATCTAGTGGTGAACTCTGTATATATGTCATCAAAACACATTCCACTCATGAAATGGTATGCAAACTCAATTTCTTTGATTATCTCAAACTCAAACGTCTTCAAGCATGAAACTTCTATTTAGAGACAAAAATTGGTCTTTATGACAATTGAAACAGAATATGAAAGTAACACAAATTCTATTAAAAAGAAAAGCTTCTGCAAAATATAGAAATGATAAGAATTGTCCACTGAGGCAGATGGAGCCTTGTTCAATTGGTCCAACTATGACTAGCATAAATACATGTGGAATATTACCAATATTCCAACAAAGTTAAATTCTGGACCACAGTGCAACGAACTTAATGGTTGAACTCATCAAATTTAAATGTTGGTCCACCTCTAATTGTCGAGGTGGTATAATGTATCAAATGAGCATCATAAATTCTCAAATCTGATCTCAACAATTAATCTAGACAACAAAAAATCCGACTTTTGATATTTGTGACAAATGATTTTTTTTTTTTAAAAAAAAGGAAGAAGCAAAGATCGACTTTAATGTGGAAGAAATTTACCCAAATAGCCGTTCATATTCATTGTTTATTTTTCTAGCCATATACATAGTTTATACATTGATTATATATAATTATACACATATAATACATAAGTTATATTATAACTCCACGGGCTATTTTTAGTTTAAGCGGTTGGGTGTGCGGCTATTTGGGTTAACTATTCATTAAATAACCCAAAAAAGTCAGAATATTAGGAATTTTTTTTTCATAGCACAAGCCATAGTACAACCAGATCACTTGAAGATAATTAAAACTAACAAGCAATCAACTACTTATTCAAGAAAAATAGTAAGTTAGAAAGTTGTAAACATACCCCACTTGCAATTATAACTCCAGTAACAACAGGAACAAGGCAACCATAAGTGATCCAAGCTTCTTGTTTCCGGGTCATCAAATAAGCAAACAATGCAGTGAAAAATGGGGTTGTGGCACCAACAGCCTGGTTAAAAGAAACAGGCAGATACCTTAAAGAAATATTGCCACCCACAACAGACCCACAAAAGACAATGCTGAGAGTAGCAATCCTGAAAAATTGGGATCTTGATTTAATCCTCTGAAAAGGTGCAATCTTGAGGAAAACAATGGATACATAGCTAAGAACAGCACAAGCTGTCATGTGACACATGGTTAGGAAAATTGGGAATTTAAATCCATAGTTTGATAACAATAATTTGTTAAGGAGAAGGACTCCTATGTTTGAGGAATACCAAAAGGTTATAAGTGTGGCAATGAAAAAAGCCTGTTTCTCTGATTGTGCTGACAACATGATTGGTTCTTGATTTTGAATGTACCCTCTTGT